ATAAAAGCGGCAGCACAGGATATTAAATGTCATAAGAAAAGCATGCAATGGAGAGTCAATGAACATAGCCTATATGGTTGACAGAGTAGAAAGAGAAGACGGACATTAGGAAATACTTCTTGAAGTTGAAGGTGGTACTTGAGATAGAGAAGGCTGCATTTTGAACAAAGACAGAAAGGCTGGATACAGTATAGAACTTATGTTTTTCCTCAGAAACCAATTCAGTTAGGAATGAATAAATAATTAATGAGACATGGTCATACTGTGAAGGACCTTGAATATTAGGCTTAGCATTTAAATAGGTTTAGAAGAATGGGGTGAATGTCCTCTTATAACAATTCAAATTAGTGACTCCTTAAACTTTTCTATTATATATATTTTCTAGAGTGATCTTTGAAATTAATCAAAGATCTTCCCACAAGAAACTAACAATAAAATCTTGACAGTAAGTGAGCATATTGTTAGGGAAAGATGGAATTTCAATAATCCTAGTACTGTACCCCATACTTGTGGGAATACGTAAGGCTTAAAACAGACATGTGGGCAAATCTTAATAACCAGAATAGCAGAAGCAAGACTGAGGGGCAAATAATAGCATTCATTAAGCTCCTAATACCAAGGTATCGTGCTAGGTGAGATAATATCCTTAATCCACCACAAAAGCCCATTGAGGTTTATGACAACTGAGGCTCAGATAGGTCCAGTAAATGGCTCAAAGTTGCCAAGCCAGTTAAGTTAGCTAGTAAAATGTTGACACCAGTTTTGCACCTAGGCCTGCCAGATTCCTTATTTTCCCCATTGTTCATTTCCACTTGTTTTTACCATCCAAGGATTCTAGTATGGTAGGATTAACATGCACGTGTCAGTGAAAAGGGCTGAATATTTAACACAAATGCTTGTATGGTCTGGAGAAAAATTAGGCTAAAATATTCAAAACTGGGTTTAGAATGGCTTAGAGATCAAGACCAAGAAAGATCAATGTTAGGGCTGCTTCCTGATCCAATCTGAACAAGATCATACTATAGATATTACATAAGAATACCAAGGGAGCAAAATCCAGTTTTAATTTGGAAATTAGAGTAAACTTCAGAAGAATCTGGATATTTGTCTGTATTCACTGATGTATACCAACTCCCTAGAACAGTAACTAGCACATAGAATACAGTCAATAAACTTCTGTTGAAGTAATGAAAAGTTATGCAAGGGGAAATATTCTCATTTGAATATTCTTGAAGGCCTTGAAATAGAGAAAAAGAAGCAGAGTAATAAGTTTAAAAACCATTCAAGTTGTTAGGATACTCTCTTTAACACTTGCCCTCATGGCAAAAACTACTAAAACAACAAACAAAAAGCAGCAATTGTAAAATATCAGCATGACTTTACAAAGAACAGTAAACAAAAGAATGAAAAGACACTTCTTCCTCCTTTTGGTTGTGCGAAGAGGCAAAGTATACTGAAGATACTTTTGCGTTATTATGGTATCCAGCATTCTGTGATTAATCAAATTCCAATGTGATGGAATCCAGAATTTTTTTTTAAATTTTCCGAAATCCAGAATTTTGACTTACTGTTTTAATATTTCAAACAGCTGTGAGCAGTGCATCCAATGACTGCTTTTAGAAAAGAAAATGGCAATCTAATCTAAATACTCTACAAAACGGACAAGTTCTTTATTATAGATGGCAAATAATGGAATGAAATATCTCAAATTCATTTATTTATCTAGACATAACAAGAGTACACTTACAAAAAAGCATTTTTCTAATTTTGATAATATGTTTCTATTACTGAGTTGGCCAAAAATTTCATTTAGTTTTTTTCCTGCCATGGCTCTAATAGTGCTTAACTTCATTGGAAAAATTGTATTAGATTATATTATGATAGCTGTCACATCACCATGCTTTTAAAAAAAGTATCAAGATGGGTGAATTATTGTGAAGCCATTTTAATGTTTAAAGATGGAAGAAGATATGCAACGTTTTTGGCATATTGTGCTTCATTATTTCAAGAAGGGTAAAAATGCAACTAAAATGCAAAAAAAGATTTGTGCATTGTATGGAGAAGGTGCTGTGACTGATCAAATGTGTCAAAAGTGGTTTGGAAAGTTTCTTGGTCTCATTGACATTTTGGTCAGATAATTCTTTGCTGTGGGACTGTCTGATGCATTGGAAGATGTATAGCAGCATCCTGGCCTCCACCCACTAGAAGCCAATAATGGGAGACAGCTGACATACTCAAAATATTCAAATCAATAAAGTTATTAGTACAAATGAAAAATATGTCTTTTATTTTATGGTAAAAACTAAATGGATTTTTTGGCCAACCTAGTAGGACAGGCAATGAAAACTACAACAAAGAGTATTTTAAAAAAGCCCTTTGTAAGATAGCAAACCTCTCCCCAGAAATACTTTGTGATTAAAAGCAGGTTCCATGTACTTTCCTTCTATTTTTCAAAAGCTTTTCTAAATTTTTTTTGTGGAAACAGTGAATAACTGCCACTTATCACAAACCACCTTCTCTCAGGTATGTGCTTTATATATTGCTTTCTTCTGAACATACAGTTCTTCAAGCTGCTCGAATCTTTCAGTTCGAGCAATTTTTATTTCTTTTATACTGTATTTCTTTCATGGAATAGCATAGAAACCAATTAAAAAAAAAAAAAACCTTCTGCTTTCCAAAGACAATTTCCAAAAGGTAATACCAATATATCTCAACAAGTATTTTAATATCGTTTTCATTTAGCACCACAATCTTTACTTCAATAATTCCTAATACTACAGTTTAATTTGCCAGAATATCATATTTTCTTCTCTATTACAGTAATAGAGAAGAAAGTGAACGCATTTTCTCTAATTATGTCATACTTGCTTGAGGTGGCCTATGTATTCCTAATCTTATAATAATAAGACATTATTTTGTCTTGCCTTTTCAACTACTGCGGAAATTTTGTAGTGTTTAAAAAAACAACTCATTGATTTTATTGTCTGAGATATTTTGTCTTCAGAAGGTTAAAACATATATTTTTCCCTTTACTGTAACATTCAGTTTAAAGCATATTTTTCTAATAAACTCTAACACCTTTTTAAAGGAACTGGAATTATAATTACAAAAGCTGAGGACAGGTTAGATAACAATCCAAAGGAAAAATACACGGGCTTTATTTATCCTTTTAAAAATCCTTTGAAAGACATTACAGTTCACTTGATATTCTAAAATTACTAAAGTTGTTTAGATTTCCCCAACTCTAAATTGCTTGATTCCTTCAGTACATAGTCACCAACCCAAGTATTGTGGTACTTAAAAACAGAAGCTAAGGAATAAAAATTGTGGAGTGTTTATTATCACTTTACGTATAGTTTCTTTATAAAACACTGAGAATACAAGAAAAATATAAAGTTCTTATTCATCTTTTGTCCTTTGTGAGCCAATCCCTGACACTTTTAAAATGAGCTGAATCTCTTGATCCTTGCACCATGCTTTAAAACCGCAAAGATCAGATACCATTTTTGAATCTCTTAATTAAATTATAAAGAGGAAAACGCAGTAAAGTCTAACTTTTGCAAATGCTACATGTTACCTGTAAGAAGTTTTAAGGCTGAGGAAGCCTGTTCTCAGGCACAGGGCAGAACCTGCAGCCTAAAATCAACACGTCTAAGAATGTAAAATAACCAATCATATTAGTTGAGATAACATGCATGTGGATACTTTCATTCTGGTAAGTTGAATATGCCTCATAATTTATGTAAAATATCGAGTACTGTAACAAAATCGTGGCGACACTTGTTGTAGCATGTCAAGACAAACATACAGCACCAGGCTCGGTGAGCGCTGGACAGTGTAAGGACAGAGGTGGGCAATTGTAAGTCACACAAGAAAGTGTGTCATTTTGCAGAGGTGAATAGAGAATTTTAACATGGGGTTTAGAATTCTTTGAAGAACGCATTAAGAAAATTTTGTGGAGAAGATATTCCATAATGCACGTTGAAAACAAACCTCACATAAATTCTGACTGGAGGGTGGACATTATTAGCAGCAGAGATTAGTGTAATCACCAAACTTCTCACATGAAACACAATCCCCAATCTTTAAAACATGGACTGTGTAAATGGCAGTAACCATTCCGTTTTCAAGCCCTAGCCGACACAGGAAGTGGGTAGAACACCCTGAACCATTACACTAGCCCCACAGGAAGTGAGTTTTATTACCCCCCGCTGCCCGAAGACAGCCTCCAACCCTTCCCCTCCCCCAGCCGGAAGTGAGGTGCCTCCATTCAGTCGGCCTCAAAATACAAACCAATTAACAACTTAATTAAAAGAGGCAGAAGGGCACTTCCATTGTGACCACCCCCAAGTCCGCATTGCTTACTGACCTGCTGACGACAGAGGCAGGCAGGGGCCTGGGGCTAAAGAAGGTTCCCTGGAAAGAGGACAATCCTCCGAGCCCTGCTCGATCGCATTCACTCTCCTTCAGCGTCGCACAGCTTGAGAAAAATTCCTCCGCAGTACTTTATTTTTTATGTCCTTCCTGTTTACCTAATCGCTTAACTACCTTCTCGTAGGCAACTTCTATTATCGCAGTAACACTTAAAGTTCTTTCGGTGAGGAGAAAAATGAAGTATTATGCCCAATACCTTAAGAAAAACGAAGGGATTATTTGTTCTAGTGCGGAGAAGGCCTACGTGATTATGCAGGAGAAGAGCTCTTTCGTGGAGGTTTCTGGGAGATGTAGTGTTTTTAATCGTTAAGGCCTGTAAGAAGTATTGGGGTTTAAATCGGCAATTATTGTATACTGGCGTCTTTCAATACACAAGTCCCGTATCCAACGGCAGCCCGACCGAAGGGATCGGACAATTAGGCCAAACCCTCATTTCCCTTGTCTTCAAGCCCTTATTTGAACCGAAATTTCCCTTCCTGCCATTCCGGTTATCTCGCCCTCCGGAGCCAATCGGGAGGAATGCGAGAGGAGGGGCAAATGACTTCTTCCGCGAGACTGTAGTGAGACTGGGCTTGTGCGCGCGCCTGTGCTTGCTCCTCCTGGAGCTCGCGGGCGGGAGCGCGCGCGAATGGGCGTTGCGCGGGGCCGTAAGGAAACTGGCCGGCTCCTGGTGTCTGTCTGTGTGTGGCCGGGAGCGCGCGGTGTACTCGGCGGGGACGAGTAGTTAGTTACTTCTGAGTGTCATTTGCTCGGCTGTTGTGGCCTCCGTGACTAGGAAGGGGACTGGACGGTCGGCGATGGTGGTCACCGCGGCAACATGTGCGCGCCTCAGGTAACGGTGGTAGGGCTGTCCGCGTCCCCTTCATTCCCTTCTCCCGCGGCGGCTTGTGGGACTAGGGTCGCCGCGGGGTGAGGGCGCTGAGTCGGGGGAATCCGTGCGGAGTATCGCGCTGTCTGGGTAGCGCCGCCGCGTGGGCTTGGGCGGCTGGCTGGGTGAGGGCACTCCGACTCCCAGGGTCCCTCAGACTCCGGGGCCCGCCAGCACCCCGCGCCCCCTCCCACTCCCTGTGGTGCTGATTTCCTCCTCCTCCTCCTTCTTAGGAGGCCGCCGCGGCCCCTGTAGCTCGGCGCCCCCCAGAGGAGGGAAAGTTGGGACATGGCGCCGAGGTAGGACCCCGGGTGCGGCCGGGAGGAAAGTGAAGGCTGGAGGAGCCGGACGCGGGGAGGCTGGGGTAGGAATGACTTCTCTCGCTCCCGTACGTCTGTCTACTCGGGCATTCTGGCCCAAACCAGGGAGCACCAGGCTCAGCCTCGCCTGCAGCACCGCGACGAAACCCCGTAGCTCTTCGCTGGTTCACTTCTGGCTGCGGGCTTGTGAGACTCCTAACGTGCGGGTTAGCACGGTTTTGAGTGGTTCTCTTGGTCAGTTTGTTTCTCCTCTGCCCTTTGACTTACCCGTCCTTGCAACTTTTCTTCACCCCCACACCGTGGACTTGCGATATGAACCCCCTCCCGTACCCCCTCCCCGTCGCCTGCAGCACCCGTCTGGGAGCTTGATTTCTTTTTTTCGTGATCTGACGACGTTAAAGACTGCCGAGAGCAACAGGAAAGAGGAGCCCTCCCATCTTTACATGCTACTTACTTGCGATCCGTTATTTTTAAAATCCAAGGGTAGGAATTTGAGAGCTGTGGAATGGAGTTATTAGAAAGCTGGCGTTGAGTTGAAGGAAAATTAGATTTCATCTTTATTGACCTTGCTATAGAAAACCCACATCATTTTACCTCTGCAACTGTTAAATGTGGTGAGAGTATACGTTGAATTAAATCTTTGGTGACGTATATAAAACGCTTTCTTTTTAGGTCATTGGATGATGTATATCAATACCTTTTGACCTAAATGGGGATTGCCTTAAGGATTCTGTTTTGGGCCTAGCTCCTGATTTTTGTTTAGCCACAAAGTCTTTTCCTGATAAATGAAATGTCGGAGAACCCATATATTGCTCTCTGCAGTCTGGTAGTGAAAAACGTGAGTTCTCCACTGGGTGAAACTTTCCAAGAGCAATTTTGGATATCCTGTAAGCTCTGAGCATTTCTATCTAGGTAGCCCAATTCACTGACTACCTTAATTATTTTGTGAAGTACCTAGCACTTCTCTGGTTACTCGTGTAGTAACTACATTGGCAGGTATGGTACGTATTCTTGGCTTCGAATTTGGAGCTGTAGCCTTAGGCCAGAAATTAACAGTTAACAATGGAAGCAGGATTCATACAGTACCATTACTGGTCAGTTTTGGCTATGACCAATGCATAAGCTATGTGAAAAAACAAACGTCTGTCCATAGCTGAGGGAAAGAGGAGGAAATATTTTGTCATATCTTTATTTTGGAAACTAACATGACTATATTAGATGGGGAAAAAGTCAGATTATTTTCTTAAAGGCTTTTTGGTATTTGGTCTTCCTCTCCATCCTCTACCCCTTGTTTTAAGGATTGACATTTATATTTGGCTGGGTTCCAGAATGGGAAGAAAAGTGTTTTGGGGAAAGGAAAAGTTAAGATCACTTCAACCTGTTATGATATATGACTATTCATTTTATCCAGTGATAGTACAGAGAAACTTCCTTGATAATTTTTGTTCCTCATTAACATTCCTTGTTAGGAGTCTACTCTGAGGAGGACCATAAAGAAATAACACCATTTCATAACTCCTGACAATCAGATTAAAAAATTGTTACTGGAATGTTTTGTATAAACTTTATCTTTGTACATTTATAGATATGTAAATATTTAAGTTTGAGAGCTTAAAAACTTTTATTTGCTTATTTGCATACATAGCTTTTAATATCTAGCAGTGCCAACCACATTTGCCAAATAAGCATCAGTCATAAATTCATGCTCTGGCACATTTCATGTATAATTCTCCTAAATTGCTTCATGGTGAAGCATCATGAGATTAGCATTTTTTTCACTAGAGACATTTGTTTTTGTTTTTAACTGTAATGATGTGCTGTTTAAGTGAAACAGGTGCTGGGCTCTAGTTGTTTGTATCGGAACCTGCCAAATCATACTATTGATGGATGGGTTGAGTAATATAGGAACCAAACTGGTGCCTGTGGCATGCCAAATGTGAGTTCGTGGTTTCTTATCACTACTGCAAATCCCTACTTTCACTGTAAGAGACGTGTATGTGATGAGCTTTATTTTCTCATTGCTGTTCTCTACTGTAATTCCTACTCCTCACCTCCACCCCAGTCCTTTCATTACTAGGGAGCTCCTGAGAAAGTCTAGGCTCTTCCATTGGTGGTTTGTTTTCCTTGAAGAATTTCTAGTAACTTTAAGGCCAGTAATAGATAGTTCACATTTGTTTGAAAAGTATTTTGAGTGCCTTTTGAGTGGTAGACATGGTGGTAAGCCCTGAGTATAAATAGAATTATACTTCTTTTTGCAAGGAGCAGTAGTTTAGGAGAAGATAGCTGATAACCAATAATTACAACGTCGTGTGTTGTGTAACAGGGATAAGCAGAAGCTTATGGATGGAAGCAGAGAGGAGGAGGGGTTATTTACCAAATACCAAGACTTGGGGTCTTGGGGTCAGCGGGTGTCTTGAAATACATTTTACTGGGTTACCTGTGTTAATCTTCAAAAATAGGTAGGAGTTATTTAGGTTTAGAAAAAAGGAAAGGACATTTTTGAGCAGCACTGTCCTGTAAAAATGAGTCAAATGTAGTCATATATATGTATTTTTAAAAATTTATATTTAACCACATTAAAAAGGAAAATGAAATTAATAATATATTTTATTTAAACTGATATATACAAAATATTATCATTTCAACATATAATCAATATAAGAAAAAGTATTATTGAGATACTTGATATTTGCTTTTTAATCCTAAGTCCTTAGAATCTAGTATGCATTTACATTTATACCACGTCTCAGTTTGGACTAGTCACATTCAAGTACTACGTGCTCAGTGGTCACACTGAGCATAGTTTTAGAATAGGGACTGAAGAAGTATTAAGAAACCAGTTCATTGATGCCTTATGAACTGAGCTAAGAAGATTTAACTTTATCTTGAAGGCTGTGAAACTTAGTGGGGAAAAATTATGCTGCCATAGAATCATATTTGTGTTTTAGACTTATCGTATTGGCTGTCAAGTGAATGCTTGATTAGAGAAGGACAAAACTGGAAGCAAGACGAGTGAAGCCAATCATGGTAAGAAATGATGAGGGATGTAGAAGGCAGCTTAGATGTATAAGAGATTTAGGAAGTATTATCAACTGGACTGGGTAAATAATCAGACTATGAAGTTGAATAAAATTGAAGATTTAAGATGATTTCCACATTTCTGTTGTGAGCCACTGAATGGGGCAAGCAACTGGAGAAGAGCCATCCATTTGAACTAGGTAGATGAAAGATGAAAAAAAGGAACTGTGAGAGATTTGGCACAGAAACTGAGGGAGAATATTTCAAGGACTAGGAGTGGTCAACATTGTATCCTGCCATGAAAAGGCCAAGTAAGATGGAGACTGAATAAAGTTGCTGAGACTTGATTAATATGTCATTTAAAAGAGTTGAAGAATGACTAACAAGCCAAAAGTGTAGCTAATTGAGAGGGATTCAGTATTTTAAACAAAAGACTGAAGAGAGAGTATAGGTGGAGGGAGGGAGATGAAGGAAGTTTAGAGAAGTTTACTCCTTTCCCTCCTTTTTAAATTAAGAGAGTTTGGGGCATTTTTATGTGGGATTGGAAAGAACCATTGGAGGGGAGAAATTGAACATGCAGGGTGGGAGAGTGAGAGGGGAAAAGAGAGGCGATTGAAGGAGCTGAGGATTTGGAGGCAATAGGAGCAGATGGGATCCAGTGCATTGCTTGGGATATTGGCCTTGGGTACAAGGTAGTTTTTCGTTTTCAGTGAGCAGAAAAGAAAGAGCTAAAGTTGGAGGCAGGGTAAATAAGTTTGTAATTCACAGTGACAGGAAGGAGAAAGAGTTGATGACATGTCTTCTCATTTTTGAGTATCCGGTAAGAGTAAAGGGGAACACAGTTGAATAGGGAGTCTTGACAATATGAGTTTATAATAGCTTTCAAGGAAATGGGGTGGGAGAGAGGCGTGGGTGCAGACACATGACTAGGAAAATAAAGGATTGTTATGCAGTACTGAGGATGCATTTGAAATTGTACACCTTGAATTTGTAGTAGTACCAATTTGTGTGGTTTGATTTTCCTTCAGCAGCGATTATCCAGGATATAATTGAAGAAATTCACAGGAATTCATAATGTAGGTACTTGATTATAAGATGAACAGCTGGGGTTCAAACACTGATGCTTCTGTGCCAGGGCCCAGGCTGTTATTCACAGCTTTGCAGATGCCTGCTTGGTACAGGTATCTGAAACCAACAGTTAGTTAAGGGAATTAATGATATTCAAGATTGTGCCTGATACAAAGAATTGTGGAGTCCAGCTTGGATCAGGAGTAGCAAGCCTGGCAAATGTGATTCAATTGGAAGAAAATGAGGGGCATCGAAGGCTAGAGGTTAGTGTGAAGCTGAAGAGCCTGCTTGTGAGGAGGGAGCAATGATACTAACTTTTATTTATGGAGTACTACCTATGTAGGCTAGATACTTTACTACCTTATTTCTAAAAGGTTATTAACTTTATAGTCTTTCCTTTGTTATTCTCCTTCAAATGAAGAGACTGCAGATTAGAGGGGTTAAATAACATGTCTAGAGACAAACACTACCAAGCGAAGGAGCCAGGATCTAAAACCCATTGTTCTCCAAACCATTTTTTTTCTTAAGGAGATAGAAAAATGTATTGGGTTGGCCAAA